GCAAAATACTACATTTCAGAACACGTCTACCTCAGAATGCACTTCACTCTTCCTAACTTTGTGCTTTCAGCTGCAAGTGTTTGCAACATGGGTCCCCTTGTATTCAGCAATGAGTAAAAAGCCAATGAAAAGCATGGGTCATTGCACTTTCTTGCCTTGACTAATTTCCAATAGAGCAGCGGTTCTCAACCTGTGGGTCGCGACCCCTTTGGCGGTCGAACGACCCTTTCACAGGGGTTGCCTAAGACCATCCTGCATATCAGATATTTACATTATGATTCATAACAGTAACAACGTTACAGCTATGAAGTAGCAACGAAAATAATTTTATGGTTGGGTCACAACATGAGGAACTGTATTTAAAGGGCCATAAGGTTGAGAACCACTGCAATAGAGGCTAATTTTGATATAAGAGGTGGATTTACCGTGAAGCTAAATGAAGTTAAACCTTCAGAGTCTTGCTCATGCAAGGTCATTTCCAAAGTCCTGTACCCATGAAACTCTTTATGCTTCAGTCCTTAAACCTACATCTGTCTTTGCCTGATATATTTTTAAAGAGAATGTTTATAATCATAATGGTCAGAATACTTTTATTTCTATCAGCAGAAAGAGTTTTAGATGTGATGGCATAATGATAATGACCTAAATAGTTTATGTATACTATGCCACACTCCCCTAATAATTTGACACAAAAAAAAGAAGTTTCAAAGTACCAGGAAAGAAACGAATGTGTTTGTGTCTGAATGTTAATCTCTGTAGCATTGCACTTACATCAATATTTCATTTGGTTAAACACTTTAGATTTGCTGTAGATGACTTTACCTCATTAAATATTCATGTGGATTTTTTTCATAGAGTCAGTTCGAGACAGCTGTAATCTGTAATATTTAAGAACTCAGGCTCAATGGTCATATTAATCCAGGTTTACATGAGCTGGTTCTGCCACCTACTAGCTGGGTGATCTCACATTTCTCATCTATAAAGTGAGCATAATTCTAGTATCTCTCAGGATTGTGTCACTTAAATGAAACATGTATCACGTCTAGCAAAGAGGAAACAGTTAAATGTTAGCTATTATTATTTACTGGTACTAAACTTTTTAACACTTTAACTGTAAAAAAATATCTTCACTAGATACTTGCTAAGTAGCCTAAATTAGCCTGTGGCTATAGCAGTTATAAATTATTCCAGCATGGCTAGCATTCTCTCCCTGGAGGAGTAGTTAAAAAAAAATAACTTTGAGAATAATGCAGAATTTTTTAGAGCTGCCGGGAGAGAGGGAAAAGGTTTTTTCCTTGTTGCCCCAGAGGCAGAATTAGGAACAATGATGCAATTTCCAAGAAAGTAGGTTTAGATTCTGTATATGGAATACATTTCAGTCTACAGTTCCTCAGTACAGAATTGGCTTGCTTGCAAGTTTACCAGAATTATTCATAAAAAGCCTTGATAATACTTCAGGAAGGGGATACTAGCACACTCCCTCTTCATTGGTCAATGCTACTGTATAAATCTAGGTTTTATCATCCATGTAAAACTTTAACTCCACAGTTGATGATTAATTTATTCAAGTTCTTGCTATAATATATTATTGTAAATTGAGTTTAACTTTGCCAGTTGAAAGGTCAGCTTTCACGTGGCCTCGTGTCCCTCCCTATACAGGCTTTTAGTCACCTTATAGAGTTTGTTTGAATACACATTCTCCTTAATCAATTCCAATTAAAGTGACAGCAAATGATTAAGCAAAATTTTGATAAATGTGTTGATTACATTGTAATTATGGTACCCTTTAAATATAATTCCATAATATTTAGGTTCCTAAATCAAAATACTAAAACCAGTAATAACCTTTTGATATTGCTAGAGTTTTTTCCAGTATATTTTAATATGACTGTGAGCTTGTCTGAGGCTGCAGTACTATCTCCACCCTATTTTTAATAACCTATTTGGGTATGTAAATTATGGCTTCCTTCTTCCTGCTTATGTCATCTAGTACACCCCATTTAAAAGGAATGAATGAAATGAATGTTTAAGCTTCTTGCTGTTACTGAATTACTTTGTACGATGTTACATAACAGAAAAGTGTTTGGCATTAATGGCCTGGAATATTAATGTTTTCAAGGACATTAGGTTCCTGGTGTTTGTTTATAGTGGTTGTGGAAGGGAGTACTTTTTGAAAGAAATAAAATGTGTCTCTATGAGAAAGGGTAGTGTGGTATAAGGGATGAACTCTAGCTAAGTCTTGGTGGCATTTGAGATGTGAAAAGGAAGAGCTTTTCAAGAAAGCATATTGATAGTAAGGTTTGCTTCCATGATGGTCATAAGAAAATTTGGAAAACCGTTTTTAATCTACTTGAGCCTATATGTGAGGCCGTGTACACCAGGGCACAATCCTACTAACTATTTTTAGTAGATAATATCCTCAGACAATAACAACAGGGCTTACTTAGTGGGAGGGAAGGACGAGTGCAGAGAATTTCCATGTACTTGAAAAGTAAATTAGTCAAATTCTATGAACTAAGCTCTGTAAATCAGTTTATACCACATCTTATTTTTGGCCTCAAAAATTAAAAAGCATGGTTATTGTGAACCCCAAAATTACTTTGAACCTGTAAAAGAGTTACATTTCAATCTGTATATTGTGATGTATTTGTTATTTAAAAAGTGGAGAGAGTATCAATAGGCAAAGATGTAACTTCATCATTTTGGTTAAAACTGGATAGAATCTCCTTTTATGAAGAATTGCCTCATTAGAATTGGTAGTGCTCATGAGGATATAGTAAAGGAAGAAGGAAAAATAGAAGAACAATAAAGTATGAGGACAAAAAGATCCAGGGAAGTAAGGGAAAAATAGGAGTGAGATGGAGGGACAAAGAGAAGAAAAGAGTTTCCAAGTGGTAGAGTGTATGGCCTACCACTGAAAATTATATAAGATAGAGAATTCCTGTAGTTTTGCATTTCAGATCATTAATCATTTTCCACTTAAGGACATTAAAAAGGTAGAACTCATAGACTACAATTAGCTCACCTTTTGCCCCTCTTACTGTATTTTTCATTTTGCTTGAACTGGTGAACCTATCATCATCATAGGTTCACACACTGGTATATGCATGGAAACAACTTGTCTAACATTGCCAATCTTCATTTTAAAGTTTAGTATACTTTCTAAGGACACATTAAATCCATTTAATTCTTCAGCCAGCCAGCATTCCCTGAAGACCTGCTGTGTCAAAGGGTTACGTTAGATGTGGAAAGGAAGAGAGAAGAATGACAGAGCCCAGAGGGAATGGTGTTTGACAGATGTGATGGAAAGACTTGTGGGCTAATAGCGAGAACGTTCAGTGGTCTACTCAAGTTTGGACTGGTTCTGTCAGCGATGAGGAGCCAGTAAACGTTTTTTAAGCAAGGAGAGACATCACCAAGGCTGTGCTTGGGCGTGATAATGTACAAAATAATTTAGAGGAGAAGGCAAGGAAATGAGCTAAAAGAGCTGTTGTAAGATTATAGCTAAGACTTAATAGGGTGTGCAGGGGCTTGGGCAATTGGGATAGAAAGGAGATGGCGTGTAGAGCCTAAGGAGATGAAAATGCAAAGATTCAATTACTAATTGTGGAGAGGCAGGAAGGAAGCTATGATAAGCTTTTTTTTTTAAAGGAAGACTTTTGCAAATGATAGTTCCCTACAGATATGAAAGAAAGGATTAAAAAATAAATGTAAATACTTTAAGCGTATATAAGTATCTATAAAGTAATTATTTCTCACGATAATTTTAAAGTTTATTTTTTATTTTTAGCATTATTACAGATGTCCCCTATTTTCTCCTCACTTCCTCCTTCTACCCAGCCCCTGCCCCACCCCAGGCCTTCACCACACTGTCTCATGATAATTTTAAATAATGAAAAAAGTGTAAATAGTATGCTTATGGAATGATGACTTTGAAAAGTTGTTCATGAGGAATTTTCGATAGATCATAGAGGTCAATAATAACCCACTTCAACTTAGACTTGTAGGTATATAGAAGAGAGTAGACTATTTTTAGGGGAAAAAGAACAGAAACATGTCTTGGAATTTCATGTCTTTTGAACTTGTTTCCTCATCTATAAGACAAAGAACAGCGTGCTGGTTAAAAAAAAGTGGAATTCAGCCCAGAACTTTGTTCAAACCCAGCTCCTGGCACAGAACAATTGTGTTATGGTAGACAAGTTACTTAACCTGTATTTAAGCTTCACTTTTGTCATACTTTGCAAAATACAGGTGATATCTGTGATGTAGGGTATGTGTTTGAAAGAGAGATAAAAATAGAGAGATACAAAGTTACACTGACTACTGGCATAGGGAGCCTCATATGTAGGTGCTAGACAAATGCTAAGTTTTATTTTTATTCTCAGGAATAGCATTCACTTAAGTGTTGGTAGATAGGTCTCTCTCTCTCTCTCTCTCTCTCTCTCTCTCTCTCTCTCTCTCACTGAAAGGTGTTTTGAAACTTGGCATTGACCTTTATGTGAAAGAAGACAACATTGCAGGGCACACAATCATTTTTGTGACATTTTAACCTGACACAAGAGGTGAAGTCTTTCTTGGGACCTGTCATTGCCCAGTTTTGCAGCAGGCTCATTGGTTTCTGCTACGCTGACCGGGAAGGGGTTAAGAAATGCCCTTACTCATGTTACATGAAGTAGCAGAAATTATCAGATGGAAACAGGAATTGGGAAGGGGAAAAGTCTCTGCGGTAGCTCATTGTTTCCTAGCCAAGACGGCTTCTGCTTACAGTGATGAGAGGAGTCTACAGCCTGGCAGTTGAATCAGATTTGAATTTCTCCTGGGTGGTGGCAACAAGTAATCCTCCACCCCTATATCTCTTAACTAAAGCATTCACACTGGAATGGCCCCGGGCTGAAACAATACTGAGTCACAGCCCTTCCCATTGGACAGCCGGGCAGCCCTTCAGGGGAGAGGCCCCGCCCCCCCCGTGTGAATCGCTGGCTTCGGGAGGAGGAGCTGGCCGATGCTAATGAACGGAGTTGCCAGGCGAGCCAGGAACTTCACTCCCCTTCTCAGTGTCAGGATCGCAGAAATTATGCCCCTTCTCTCACCATGAGCTGGCTCTCCAGTTCCCAGGGAGTCGTGCTCACTGCCTACCACCACAGCAGCAAGGATCGGGCCGTGGGGGAGAGCCATGGCCAGGGAGGGGAGGAAGCCACCTCCAGGTAAGCCCTGGCATTTGAAAGCCAGAGAACAAAACAAAAAACCGCTCACCTGCTCCAGGAAAGAAGTGACAGGGCAGTTGGCGCGGGGCCGGAGGAAGGACTCCGCATGCGGAACCTGGCCGCCTGCAGCTGCAGACGTGTCTGGCGGGGGTTTCATGGACTCTGCATCTATCTCATCTAGTCCAAGTCGGAAACCCCTCACATAATTGCTGGGAAAGCCGGGGAGGGAGGGCTGAGGCTGCGGCTGTCAGACTTGTTGCTTAGCAGGTGCATTTGCAAATGCTGAAAGATCAAATGACTATATTTGAAACACTTCCTATGAGGTGGAATTCTTGAATGGGCTCAAGGCTCAGCGCTGGAACTGTTAGTTGGGAAAGTGTGCCAGCAGCAGGGGGGGTGTTCACTGTACAAGCTGTTGTTGTTAGAGTCTTTTTTTTTTCTTTCTTCCCTCTCTCCTTTGCTGAAAGCAAACTTCTTAGGCAAAAAGCCCAAGACACTGCCTGGGGCGGTGTGTCTCATATTCTTTTGTGTATGTGGATTTGGGTGTGTGCGTGTGTGGGGGCGGGGGCTTTCAAAAAAGAGTTTTTGTGGGAAGATAGTACAGTGAGGCCAGAGAAACGTGGTTAATGTTAAATCACTTTATAGGTGGAAAGGGCAAATGTTCCACAGACCACTGAGGTGCGGAGTACCTTTCCCTCTATCTGTGTACTTTGTTCTGTTTTCAAGGACTTTTTTTTTTTTTTTCCTTCTTTCCCTTAATGACCTTCTCACTATCCGAATATTTTCACCTCAGCCTTAGATAGAAATTGTAAATATTAGCCTGGACGCTTGCAAAAAGCAAATGCTAACCTGATTGTGTAAAGCACTAAAGTAGTTGTCAGTAAGCATGTTTCCTCCATGACGTTCAATGTGATAATAAAACCTCCTTTGTTCTTATGTGACTGACTTGTGCTTATGCCTTAAGCTGAAATAATGCCTTCTTTCATTTGTTTTAAAATCCCCAAATGGGGGCGGGGGGTGGGGGATAGGGAAGGGGAGGTCAAATCAAATGAATGGCTGGCTGGCTGCTATGTTCTGCCTGAGGTACCCAGGCTGACCAGAACTTTTCTTCTGTAGCAACCACAGTATGTGTCCCATTGAGAATGAATTCATTTCCAAAGACATGAGGGACCTGCCTCCTGGGCCTTAGGCATGTTTCCATTTTATTTTCTGTTGCTTTAAGTATTTTCTGTGAGATCATAAGTGTTTTCATCTCTCTTTTGTGGAGCAGTGATGTGACCTCTCAGCAGTAAGCAGTCTGTGACACCAGCCCCATACCTTTCATAACTTGGAGTCCACATGACAGTCAAAATTGCCAGAATGTGCAAGCTTGGCATATTTTCCTGGGACATTCTCCTCTGGGTGGCCCGAGGAGCTGAGCTGCCTCTTGGATCTTTACTGTGAGAGTGGAAGGAACCTTAGGGAAGTGAGGCCAGACTTTTTATTTTCACCTTGAGGACGCCAACCCCCAGGAATGGATTTGGTTGTCGCATGGTCTGTGGGTCTTTAGGCCTTTGCCTGGGGCTGCATATCCAGTTCTGGAGGCTTTATCCTGTGTTGGTAGTTCTGCAGCCTGATGTGGGTTGAGAGAACATAAGAGAGGAACAGACCGTTCTCAGCCTATGCTAAAGCAGAATCTGGAGGCACTGAGGTGGCAGGCTGGGCACTGCTCACGCAGTGGGGGCTCCTGCTGGCTGCCATATTGCTTGTGCATACTGACCCCAAATTCTCACCACCGAATTCGAGTCCTAGGGACAGTAATGTCGGCAGGAGAAGATGGGAGCTCTGATTTGACAGCTGGGAGGAAAGGCAGGGAGGAGAGAAGAGAGCCAGTCCCTAGTAGCTTTTCCCCTTAAGCATGGAATAGTTTATCAGATAAGCTTAGTGTTACTTTGGGAGGTACCCTGTTTAGCCTGGAAGGGTTGAGATAGTGCAAGCGGGTGGGAGGGGGTGAGTGGAGGGAGGAGTGATTTGAGAGTGGATGGGCTCAGAATTTGACTTGCTGAGGATGGTGGGGGAAGGAATGCGTGGGACTTTGGTTCTGGCTAGGTTGGTCAGCCAGTGGGAAGCGGCTCAGAGATACAGAGGTGATGGTTGATGCCTATTTTAAAAAGCTCTTCAAAAGGCCAAACCAAACCCAAACAAATAAAACTCTTAAAAAGAGGAAAAAGTTAGATTCTGTCCTCCGATCCCCGTTTCCCCACCCCTACCCTCACCCCCACTACCACCTATTGAAAAGTTGCTGGAGGGAGTGCAGAAATCTAACTTGGCTAATTGCAAGATTTTGTCTCAAAATAATAGGAGCTTTGATGAGTTACTTAATCAAACTTTTAGTTTAGTAAGATGAACTCATGTATATGCCATTTGAAAGGTGTAAAGGACTATGTGTATGATTAAGGATATTTATAGAAAGTGATTGATTTTTAACCTTACCTTACCAAGCCCTATTTTATTTGATCTTTGGAAAAACTTCGATAGTAGGGAATTAATCTTTTTGTAAGTTACCTGTGCATCTAAAATTCCCTCTATTGCATTATCCCTCTCAATCGGGAAACATTCATTAGATGGAATGTTTCCAGGAAAAGAATTCCTCCTACTCTTAGGGCCTCTCAAATATTTACTGAATCCTGTTTTCAATTTTTGGGTGTCATATTTTCTCCTTTAAACATTAGGATTTAAATAAATATGCTAATATTAGTTGTTCTGACTTGTACACAGTCAAATGTTTACAAAGGAAACCACTTTATGAGTATCTATATTTATAAGACTTTATTTACCTGTTGATTTTTAAGCAGATTTCTTTTTATTTATTATTATTTTTAAAAATATTTGGGGATGGAGGTTGTAGAAACCACTTTATTTTTATTTATTTATTTGTTAATCATCACCCGAGGCTATTTTCTGCATTGATTTTTAGAGAGAGTGGAAGGGAGGGGGAGAGACAGAGAGAGGAGAGAGATCATCGATGTATCTCTCACATTGACTGCTCTCCTCTCTCACTCCCTGTCCTCCCACGAGGAAGACTGAGCTTGCAGTCGAGGCACTTGCCCTTGACCGGAATTGAACCTGAGACCCTTCAGTCCAAGGGCCCGATGTTCCAACCACTGAGCAAACCCGGCCAGGGCTCAAGCAGATTTCTTAATGTTTACCTTTGCAAAGCAGTTTTTCCAAGAATAGTGCATTTTGTCTATTCTTACTGCTCTCCCTTGACTTTCCTGTCTTTTTAAGAAAAACTATTTTGTTTGCTTAGCATCCGTTTTAGCTAATATTTTTGATAAACATTGACCTCAAAGATATTTTCCTTCTTATTGGACTTAACTCTAGTTGATATCTGAGGTTTTTAAAGAATGTCTTTTATGAATAAATGTATAGCATTCGTGATGCAGGGTCTTGTTTTGTTGACCACAAGTGCCACTGGTGCTGAATAAGCAGAACCAAGAGGCACTATGTCATCGTGATGTACATCCTGAAACTCTGGGCTCTGGGGCCAACGTGCCTGGGTTCACATCTCTGCTCTGCCCCTTGTTAGCAGTGTGGTCGTGGAGAAGTGTTAATTCTCTGCTTGTAAGTTGAACTTCATAACAGCTCTCCCTTCATTGGGAGGATTAAGTGGGATGATCCATGCAAAGCCCACAAAACGTGCCTGGTTCATAGCTAGCTGCTTCTGTCCTTAACACCACGTAAAGGAAAGGAAGGAAATGATTGAGCCTTGCACCATATAACATAAATATTATGTTACATTTTCATAAATATTTTGTCATGTGTTAAGAAATATGGCTGTAATCCACGTGCTTAACTAAAAATGGCATAACTGAAAATTAACCATCATGTTAAAGTTCAGTCCTTGGAGTTTGAAAGACCTTGGAAGTGTCCTTTTGAACCGGAGCCACATTTACAAGTTGAACTAATGTTAGCAGGCCTGCCTTGGGGCATGGGTGGGCCACACTGAGGCCTGCAACCTTGACTTTTAGGGCAAGATGGAATGTGGGTGGGTCCTCTTTTGGCAGCCTCCATGGTTCCCTCCTTTAAGAACTACCATTGCCTACAGGCCAAATGGAAGTCGACTGCCATCTTCATATACTTAGCTTTAGTTCTTGACTTTGTAAGGCTTACCTATTTCTGGGTCCTAACAACTTGCTGAGTAAGCATAACCATTTGGTCACTCAGTCATTCCACATGTAATTACTGAGCTCATACTGTGTGTCAGACAGTTCTCTAGGAGCTGGGAATGCAATGAAAACGAACACCTGGGTTGGGAGAGGAGGGTACACAGTGGAAAATGAGCAGGTGAGCCTTGCAGATATATGGGGGTAAGAGTTAGGGAAACAGCTTTTAATGTTGCTTTAAGTGAGATGGGAAGCCAGTGAGTGGGGAGGGTTTTGAACATGGGGAAACAGAGCACATTTTGGCTTTAAAAGGTCCCTCTGGCTGTTTTGTTGAATGTAGTCTGTAGAAGGAGAGACACTACTCAGGAGGTAAGGTGATGGCTTGCTGGGCCAAGGTTTTAGTTGTTTAGGTAGTGGAGGTGGTGCGCATGAAATGTTTCGGAGGTAGAGCCTGTAGGATTTCCTGATGTTTGTGGTACATGAGCAAATGAGACTAAAGACTGTTGCAAGGTTTGGCCTATGCAACTCCATTGATTTAGATCGGGAAGACTCCCAGAGTGAAGGGAGGTAGACAGGGCAAGATCTGAAGCTCAGTTTTGGACATGTGACTCATGACTTGAGAGAAGCTTTAAGGAAAAGGTATTGTCATTCTTGATGAGTCAGAGTTTTTACACAAATTCACAGCATTTAAAAAAAACAAAACAGCTATGTGCTAAAGTATGAGTAGAGTTTTTTCCTTCTGAATTTGTGTTTTATCTGAAATTATGAATATTTTTGGTGAAGGAAGGGATGGCTATAACTTTTTACAATGCAATATGGAAGTTACATGTCTTCTTATTTTTTTTAACCTTAGAA